GCTACCAGGAAGAAAATTAATTCTATGCCAACTGAAACCAGGACACAGGGATAAAAAAATCAGAAGTTAATGAGGGATGAATTAAGTATTCAAAAGTATGCTGAATGTAGTAACAATAGCTAGACTATTTTCAGCTAAGATTTATTAAGCTATTTTGTTCAGTTTCAGCATTGTTAGTATTTTAAAAGCTTTTTAGAAAGGTACTTTAAGAGACCGCTTCCCTGATAAAAATCAAATCCATAGGAGGGTTTTTACCCTTATTTTCAGTAGCTATATTAGGAAAATAAAGCTTATCTTTGGAAAAATAGGAATCTGAAGACTACTACACAGAGATATTCTGTGATTATGAAATCATTCTGTCAGACCAGAGCTAATTTTATTCCCCTGAATCAAATGGTTATTGAATGAGTGTTAAAGAAAGCAAAAAGACGTATTTAACATTAAAATATGCAGAGTTTGAAAAATGAAGTTGTCTTTTCCTAGAAAACAAATTATTTCTTAAAGGGTAAGCCTGTCCAAAATGCATTTTAGCAATGTTCATTACCTACAAAATACAATGTAATAATTTTCTACCTACGAAACTTAAACATTCTAATGAGCAACAATTACTTGGAAAGGTAAGTTCTGGTATTTTACCAAGTCTGCTTGAAGAACGTGGGCAGATTTAAAATGTGTTTTAGAGGATATCTGCATCAAAGTAATTTTTCTTGGTAAGGTAGTGATTATGCATAGTACTATGTTTTAGAATTTAATTTCTTTTTTATCTTTCCCTGCTTTAAATAAAATTTGCAGTTGCTGGGCAGAAGTTATATGTGAGACTTTTTCAACGCAAGCTGAACTGGTTAAAAGTGAACAAAATAGAGTATGGAGAGATAAGTATGGATTTATTACCAATAATTGAAGAACTGGCTGAAGCCAGATTTCTGCAAACAGGTATGGCCAGCATTAATAAATGTTCAAAGTATTACAAATAATATCTGCGGTTGTGTCATGTTAGAGTTTAATGCACTACATTCTTATCTGTGCCTTAAGAGAATTAGAGGAGCAGAATAAAGTTTTCAGGTAGATGAGTTGTGTTGTGTTACATTAATAATAAAAGCAGTTGGTGCAAATTAGGTAATGGGGAGAGCTATAGGTGCAGCTGGAGGCCTTACTTGCCCTCACCAGCCTCATCTCAGACGCTGACCTGCGCAGCCTCTGTGCATTGGTGCAGGAGCTGTACTTAATATCCTTCAGTACTGCCCTGAGCTGTCTTGCAGGCACCCTGTCCCTGGCCTCATCTGTCCCTGGCTGGCTGGACCTCCAGCCAATGCAGCAGGTGTTTGTTTCCAGTCTTGTCTGTGGCCATGTACTGTTCATGGATCTCCGATGTAAATTATAGTCTTGTCTCTAGTCTTAGGCCTGCTCGTCTCTTAGATCGACCCTGTGCCTGATTCATCATCATGCCTTTTCTGGGACTGCCAGTGGAATCTCTTATCGGGGTTTTTGCTCTGCCAATTCTGTTCATTTATGGTGGGACTGCACCAGGGTTGGTGAGGACACTGCCAGTGCTGTGGTCACTCTTGACTCCTGGCTCATTCACCCTTGTTGAGCAGCTCTGCTCTTCCTGCTCCCTGGCAGCACTTCTGTTTTTTGCATTGGGCAAAGTTTTAATCATCAGGAAGACAAGTTTTTCTCAACAGCGTTTTTTTGGAACTCAGTAGAATTTCTTTATATTTGCTTTTGTTTTGAAGTTGCAAAGGGATTTTTTTTCTGATTATTCCATTCCATCAAACTGGACCTGTGAAGAGAATGAATTTCAAGCTGAACCAGCTAGCATTGATAGTACATGTTAGAAGAATCTGAATGATTTGATTAGTACTAGGTTATATGAATGTACTATACTTTGAGCTGTTGCTTGAGTGTGGATGTATAACACATAATAATTTTATGTGGATCATTTTACTTTTAGAATCTGAACTGGAAGACCTGTGTGAAGGGTTGGATTTGCTTTCAGCCCCTGAGCTAAAAACATTAGCAAAGATCTTTCACTTGCCAAACCCAAATGGTCAGAAACAGCAACTTGTGGATGATTTTCTGAGGTTGGCAAAACAACGTTCAGTTTTAGGAGTCAGGCTGGTATTGGGAAAGTGATTTTAAAAAGGTAACTCTGTTTATAGTTAAATTTTGCAGTTGAATGTAAGTTATGCTTCAAAGGACTCAATCTAGATGCCTTTTGAAGAGAGGAATGCATTTACTAAATTTATGAAGAAAAAAGGGCAGCATTAAATTTTGAATCATAGTGGGTCAACAGAAGGGTAAACAGTAGACTTTTTTTTTAAACTACGCCATACTTTTCAGCTCTGGGCATGATTACCTATCTCCAAAGTTACTCAATTATACAGAGAAACATTTCTGAATTATTTAAAGCAAAATCAGTGCAGAAAAACATCTAGGAAGACATAGGAAAAGCCATTCCCTATTAAAGCAACTATCTGATGTTTGTTTGCTGAGTGAGCTCTTTTAGTAGAATTAGAGGGGAGCAATAATCTCTTTTTTTGTGATTGACTTTTTTGTACTTTAGCATAGAGCCTCCTTTTTGGCAGCATTTTTAAAGGGAAAAGATTTGTTTGCTGGAAAAAGTGTTCTTTCTTTCCTGTGATTTTTTTTCCACAGCTATGTATAGCGGATGCCCTTGACTTCCAGGTCTTCTGGGGTCCAGATTTAGGTTTAAGGTGTCATTCTGCCCTAACAGGAGTGATTACAGCATTACCATTATTGGTGTTTAGGGCTGCATCTGTAGCTAGAATATCCACAAAAAATCTAGGAATTTGGACTAAAGTAATAGCCAGGTTACTGGTGCTAGGTACAAGTCAGTTCTGGAATTTATAAGCTTTCGTATGCAGTTACCTGTCTTTGTAACTGATACCAAAAAGTAACTGTTTGAATAATGATGCCTGTAAACAAAGGTTGCTTGTCTAGCAGTTAGCTTGTGTAGCAGTTAGCTTGTCTAGTAGGCTGGGGAGCTAGGGTACGAACTCAGCAACTGTGGAATCCTTTCTGTACAAAATGCAGGTTGGATAGAAAGCTGACAGATAGTGGTTGTACTGCGTTTGCTTTGATAACATAATTTGTGTTTCCTGTGATATTCTTTTTCAAATGAGAGAGATACAAAGCTTTGTCAAGTTTTGCATAGCTATGTTTATTGGACAGATACTCCCCCCTGAAATCTATCATGTGATTCTCCACAAAATTGCTGTATTAAAAGGGATCTAGTATTGGAAGAAGAACTTTAAAATCCCTCCATGAAGAATTGCTATTACATGAATCAGTAAGGTCTTCTTTCCTTATGCCAAAAGAGAGGCCTAACGCTGGTTTAGTGGTGGGCTTGCAGAGCTTCACAACTGGGAGGTTTGCTTAGTATAGTTAGCTTCGTTAAAGTAGTTTTATTTGGTCTTTGCTATTTTCGGAATACAACAGGAGCTCTAGTGGTTCCCATTCTGTTAAAAATAGTATTTCACACTGGTGTCATTGTCTCCAGTAGCATGGCACTTCATTTGGTCTGCAGGAAAACAGCTGAAGTGATCATAGCCACAGCCATAATTATCTTGTGTTAGAGGATGTTGGGACTTTGTGATAAGTAAGGATGTTTTAAATTAAGGAATTGCAGTTGTTTCCTCATTCTAATCCAGGTATAGAAGACTTCAGTATGAAAATATGTTGTATCACTTGAGATTTCACTTTTTCTCTTTGATACTAGATATTTGAACTATGTGATGATGCATAATTTGTATAAATATCTCAGAAACTAAATTGTTTTCAGAATATTAGCTTAAACTATACAAAGGAAGGCTAGAAAAAAATGTGTCCAGGAGATGGAAAGGAACCTGGGAAAATGAGTTATCCAAAAAAGTCCTCGGTGCTGGCTTACTCCCTACTCCAAGAAAAGGGGTTGATAAGTTGCTTGGCCACATCAACTTTGGAAATGTAATGCTCTTTGCTGTAGTTGACAGCTGAAATACTAGTTACCCGATGAGATCAGAGAAAATTGTGTTTTAAATCTGTGCTGTCCTGTTGACAAGTAACAGAAATCTTGTCTTGTATGAAAAGGCTGAATGAAGATGTGCTAATGGAGATAGCCTAAAACAAGGGATCTCAAACTGTAAACATTGCGCTAACAGCAAATCATATCTTGTTCCTTGTTGGTACTGCCTGGCATAGCAACAGGAGTGGCTGCACCCAAAGGGCAGTTAGTTCCAATTCTCTTCTGTTTGAAGTTTGGGCCTAAAACTTTTTATTAGTTAATGCATTTCTTTGGCTTTTCACTAGATGTTACATGCACTATATAGTTTCTCAAGCTGCTTCTTTCCAGGAAAATCAAGTTTACACATAATTGGCTTGAAAACCAAATTATTCTCATACTTCATTCAATATATTTAAATTTTTATAAGTTATGGTAAAATCCATTTGTTATAATTTATTTGTCCTTCCAGGGTGAAGGACCTGGCTGGAAAATCTGTCAGGGTCTGTAAAGGCCCTCGGGCTGTCTTTTCTCGAATCCTGCTGCTATTTTCACTGTCTGAGTCAATGGAGGACGAAGAAGCTGGTAGTGCTGGTCAAGGCCAGCTCTCCACAGTCCTTATGGTAAACATGGGACGTATGGTATTCCCGAGTTACACTGTAAATAGGAAAACACAGGTCTTCCAGGACAGAGAAGATCTTATCAGGTAGGGAGAGATTTGGCAGTTTGGAAATCTCTTTATTTCTAGAAAAGCTTTACTGCAGTACTTGTGTAGGCAAATAAGAGTTCATCATGTAGAACACCAGATGTAAATAGGTAGAAGTGCACTTTTGCAATGATTTAGAATGCACTTTTGTATCTAGGTAGGACTTGTAATTCACAGTGGCTTGCATTTTGAACCAAAATAGCGAATTTATTTGCTTCATGATCATCTGCTGATGAAAGTTGTTTTTTCATTTGCTGTGATAATTATTAGAATGGACTCTGAACAAAACAAAAAATACGTTCTCTAGTTCATAAGTAATTTTAAACATAATGTACCCTGCTAGTGTAAACTCTGCTGATCCTACAAGATTAAGAATAAAGTTGACTGCATGATTCAATGTCTTTGGAGACTGGAAGGGAGTGTTTAAAAGATAATCATATGGAGGAATTGATTTCTTTTAACTGTAAATGCTTTTTGAGCCTAATACAGTTATTTTGGTTTTTTTCCCTTAGATATGCAACTGCTGCTTATCTGTCAAATGATATAGCCACTGCAATGGTAAATGGGAACTGGGAAGAAGCTAATCATCTATATATGTGTGCTAAAGAAACCTGGAACGAACTGAAAAATCACCCGTCTTTGAGGTAGTAAACTGGAAACTAGCCTAGTGTTCATATGAAACTATTAAGTATATTATCTTACTTTTGGTACTTTTCCTTCTGAGAGAGGCTTCTAAACTAGTGATATTATTTAAGCCTGATAAATTTAGAAGCTTTAATGTTCTTGAAAGCTTTGAACTTCCTGATTGCTTGTTTAGCTTTTAAGTAATTATATGAAAAGGCCTTTTTTATAAAACCTTGGGAATGAATTAGGAGGCATGGATAAAGCACTAAAACATTTCTGTTCTGTCTGCCAGTGCAGGAGAACCTTATTTTTCCCTTGTCATAGTTTGTTTTTATGGCTTTTAGACAAATAGCAATAAGGAGAATTTAAAATTCACTGTGAACAAAAGAATGTTGCAAATGTTACGGGAAAACATACTGGGTTATTCATCTCTTCAAACTTCCAAGTGGGTGTCATCCAGGAGATGTTACTAGAGATCTGAGAACTGAAATAAGGTGTATTGTTTTTGAAGCATCCTTCATCAGTTTTTATTTCAATCATTTTGTTTTCTGGCTTAATGATAGATCAAAAATTAAAGCCTTAAGTTTGGCATTATATTCCTTTTCATGGCAACTAATTTAAAATAATATTCATAGAGGGTCATTTGGAGATCCATTCCATTTCATACTGAAGACAGTGGAGAAACATATTTTCATTTCAATAAGACATTCAAAGGGTGTTAGTCTTTTATGGCAGGAAATGTCTGTTCTAGCCTTTTTGTTCAGCTGTGTTTCTGAAGTTAACCTTCTGAATTATGAGAACAAGTTGGCAGTAACAAAACATGGTGTAATAAATTATTGGTTTGCATCTGATATCAAACTTGTTAACTAACTGCTGTTGAAACCCAAGTGTGCTCTGCAAGTGCAGCTTGCACCTGCTACCTCAGCTAAACTATTTTTTTTACCTTTGGGTTCTTGACTTTGCAACTGGGATACTCATTTCAGTTCAATTTTGATGTAGAAGGCATTTAATTTTTGTAAATTATTTAGGTATAAGTATTCTTAGAGAATTTTAAGAATTTAAATTGCCATTATTAAATTGATCTGAGTTGCTCTTATTTTTCAGCTATCACAAGGTTTTACCTGAGTATCTGCGACATTTCACAGTTGGCTGGGTGTATACAAGAATCCTTTCTCAAGGTGTTGAAATTTTGCAGAGACTTCACATGTATGAGGTAAAGTCATGAAGTGCATAGGAATACATGTTTAATGTAGCGTTGTACATCAAATCACATTTCTGATGTGGCTGGAAAATGATGACAGTGTTTGCCAGGACTTCCTACAGTTCTCTTAACAAGTTGTTTTAAGGAAAAAAAGAGCCTTTTTTTCTTCCTGCTTTAGGAAGTGTTAAATTGTTTTGATCTCTGCTTATGCTTTGGAGATTTACCATATGTAATATACCATAAGACTGTTGCTGATACATTGTTGTTTTGTTATTTAAAGGTATCTGTGTTTCACTAGATTTGGTTATTGGTTTTAAATAAGAAAATCTCGGGAAAGTCTTCTGTTATAACCCTGCCTCTTCGCCTTAGGAGCTAACATCTCCAAAGGCCTCTGACTTACATGTTAAAGCAAACCAGATTATTCTGAAAAAGACTTTGCCTCTGCAGAAAGGCAAGAAGTAATATTCAGGTCTTTTTTTATAGACGATAAGGAATATAGAAAGGCAGCTAACCCTTAAGTTTATGTAAAAATATATCTTTTCTGGAGTTTTTAAGATACACCCATGCACCTGAATACCTTGAGTGCTGGAGTGAAAATGGGGTTTGAATTGTGCAGAGACAAAGTTTTATAGTACCCAGTAATAAGAGGGGAAAGTGACAGGCTAATTATATAATGAAACTTCAACTTGGTGTTCTAACAACTCAGTTAATAAAGATACAATCCTGTTGCTCCAGGAGGCGGTGCGGGAGCTGCAGACCCTTCTGTCTCAGGACGTGTATTGTGCTGACAGCAGAGGGCGGTGGTGGGATCGCCTGGCTCTGAATTTACATCAGCACCTGAAAAACACTAAGAAGGTATCATCTTCACAGCTGCATGCTGTAAAGCTGGAAACACTGCCGCCGTTGTCTGAAAACATTTTTTAAAACATTTCATATGAGAAGAACAGCAGGGTAGGCTCTCCTAAAAATGCTGATTTTGGTAGGAATCCCAAGGTCAGGCAACCAGTTTCTCCTAAGAAATTGAATATTGAATGTACCCTCGTCCTTGGTTGGCCTGCTTTTTTCTGTTGCATAGAAAAACATGTTTGGCATGAAGGATTGTATGGAGTTATCGGGCAACATCTTCCTTTCTGTTCTACCTTATAAATTTGCCTAATGTGTGAGAAGCAGAGAAACCTCTTGCAGTAAACACGTCTGCTTCTGATCCTGAGTCAGGATGAGGCCATATCTGGAATGAAAAAAACAAACATGATCAGAAGGAGGTTTTTAATGTTTTCAAATAAAAAATTGAGAGAACTAAGTCCTTGGCTAACTGTTGCTAGTGGGGAGAAGATTGTCTTCCATATCTGGACCAGTTTTGGTGTGGGGTTTCTACTGTAAGGCATCAAGCAGTAGACAACTCCATGTCTAAGCTGTTACTTGTACACAGCTTTGGTAGGGTTATCGGTCTTTAACAGCAAATTTAAACTATTTCCATGGTCCTACAGGAGAAACTGTAACTGACCATCCTTAGATTGGTAAAAAGAGTAACATTAATCATTTTAGACGTAGCATGTCTTACAGTCTGTGTTCATCCTGCTCTGTTTAATGTTCTTAGGAAGGCAGAGGAGCAGAGAAGAGGTTTTGAGGTAATCTTAGCTTTTGCTGAAACTTTTGTCTCTTCCCTTCCAGTAGGACACACACACACACCAGTAGGGTGAAAAAGATTTCTGCAGCAGAATATAAAGGAACCAGGGAAAACTGCAAGCTGTAGTATAGGTTTCGCCTTTGAATTCCTTGTGAGCCATCACTGGCTTTTCACAAACTTTCTTTTCAAGAGCCACAAGGCATAGAAGCCACTGTCCAACTCATTTTAGGGCTCAAATGCAGCTCCATGAATTTTCCGTGCAAGAAACAGCAGATGGTAGTTGTAGCAGCTGCTGGTCTGAGGGTTTGTAAGTACAGGAGATGATGTCCAATTTTTCCTGTCTGTTGTTACATACAAAGGAGAAAGGTTGTCAATGATTGAAAATTAAATTCTGTAGCACTGTTTAGGTCACAGCAAAGTATGGGCAGACTGAAAATCAGCTTTTAACTAAAGACAAAGATGACCAATCTAATTAAACACACTTAAGATACCTGACTAATGAAAAATAGAGATTAAAAAAATGTTTTAAGTCCAGGAACAGTAGCAGTTGTAGAGTGATTTAAAATAAGCAGAGAATGACTTTTTGTTTTCCTTGGTGTTGCTTCCTTGCCTCACTAAGGCTATTGAGAATTGGGGTTAAAATGCCCATATTTTGAGTTGCATTTTAATGCTCTACGTTTATTTAAAGGAAATAATATCATAGGCTGTCAAGCATCTGCAGTTGTCTTTTCTTGTAGCCCCATATCAGGCTTTTTCCAGATTTGGAATTAGAAGTTGTACAAAGGAAGAGTTAGTCTCAGTTCCTTATTTATAATTTAGGACAAAGTGCCTTCATCAAGTCACAGAAAGAGAGTATGTCAGAACTATGATTTGAATTAATTTTTGGAGTCCATATTTAGACCCTGGATGTTCTTCAGTGTAGTAGTGCATTGGTCTAAGATTTGTTCTGTGTGTACATTCTTGCACAATTGAGCTGGTCATTCTGTTTCTGTATTACATGCTGTTAAGAAGCTGGCTTAAAAATATTAAACTGATTTACCTTAGAACCAACTTATGTAGAATTTATGTATGGTCACTTATGTAGAATTTACACTTCCTTAATCTTATACTGATCAGTACAAATGGAGAGTAATTTCTTTTTACTGTACTAATGCAAATTTGAATCCAGAAGCCTACTAGTGCAAAATATTACTTACTAGTTAGAACTTCAGTGTATAAGTAAGAAAGGAGACCCTGTCTTACATGCTGGTTTTTTTTTACATTCACATTTTTGTGCTCCTTTAATTAGTTGGTCTTTTGGGCTTAGTAAGAACAGGCAGTTGTGTGTAGGTCTTTCTCAATTGTTGCTTGTTCCTTGCTGTTTGCTAGGCCATTGACTGCATTAGAAATGGACTGGCAGACCCATTTGTACGTACTGGGCATCGTCTCTCTCTCTACCAGCGGGCCCTACGAATCAGAGACTCACCAAGCTGCAAGCAGTTCAGATGCCTCTTTCATGATCTGCCAGTCATAGCTGTGGAGGATGTGACACATGTATGTAAAGTTGCTGGTGGTTTCTGAGAAGTAACAACTCATGAGGTCTTTTTGCTTCTGACAAGAAAAAATAATATGGGAGACTGTTGTATCGTGCTATGCACCAGCCTCTGACTTATTTGTGCTGCAGGAAAAGGAATACAAATGTGTTTCTAAAACAAAAGCCTCTTGTAAACAAGTATTTCTACTTATTTAAGAAATGGTCAGCTGCTTAGCTGAAGTTAGTTAGCTGCATACTGATTTAATTTGCATTGCTTTACTGAATGTGTGTTATCAATCTAATCAGCTATAAACGCCACTAATTTACCAGGAACACTCTCAGAACCTTTCTGCACTGATCGTCAGTGCATTGCCTCTGCTGTCTTCAGGCCAAGCCTTCTCTGTGTAAGAAAAAGTGATAGTAACCTTAGTGTGTTGTCAACATTAGATAAATGGCTCAAAAGATTGCAAGTTTTTTTAAGTAACCTTTCAGAGTTATGGACTCTAAATATGTGCTATGCAAATAAGCACTATGATGCACTTGCATCATGTTGAAATGGATATTTTTATTTATTTATTTATTTTTAAAAAAACTCATTCTTTTCCCTGCTGTTGCAAAGATAATTGTATCTGGGCAAAGTCAGAGCAGAACCTCACTTTCTCTCTTGGCCTCGTCACCGCATATCTCCCTACAGCTCTTCTTTTTCTCAGTCCAGAATCAGTCTCCTCAGTTCATCTGTATTCTTTCTTCCTGGCCCTGCGTATAGAAAGACTACATTCCCATCTGCCCAGCGTTTTTGCTAGACTTTTTTTTTTTTTTTTTCCCCCCTGAAAAATTTGCCAGTTTATAAAAGTTAAAAAGAATGATTTCGAAGGAATAACAACAGGTTAAATTTTATTCAGTTTATTTTTAGAAACAGGTCTAGTTCTGATTTTAAGAAAACTGAAATGGAGTAATGTGTGTGTTTCAGGAGAGATTGATATACCTAGGCTAAAGCTTTTTAAATGTGATGCTGGAAAGTAACCAGTTTTTTTAATATGTTCAGGTTACAATCAAAGGAAAGATGTGTCCTCAGATGGGAATGGGAAAATCTGTGTTTCTAATGGAGGACATTGGTGATGAAGAAGGAGGTGAAGACTTCAGTGTATCCACAGTCATGTGCTCAGTTGAGGAGCTGGCGTTAACTCATTACAGGCAGAATGGTTTTGATCAGGGTAACAGTACCTTTTTTATTTGTACAGTAAAATAACTGTGGGAGTAAAGAACCAATTTACTAAGCATTTTAGTTAATAGACCAGTTTTAGCTGATTTCATTAGGCCAGTTTCTAGTCTGATTCTGTTTCCTTCCCAAACAGCTCTAATACATAATCTCCTTACCAAACTGCTCTAATATGTTTTTTTCACCTCACCTGCTTCCTGGCCCTTAATTATTTGCTGCCTTCATATACCTAAGGTGGTTTTGAAATGTGTTAATGAAAAAAACCCTAATGTTTCTTCTTTAGTCCATAGAAGATAACTTACTTTTTGCCTTTATTTGTGACAGGGCGTACTAATTTAATCCTGCTCTGTGAATGAAGGCCAGTAGCCTGGAAATCGGAAGCATTAGCAAATTGTGGAAGTAATAAACGGCAGTTAAAACTTGATGCTGTAATGTTAATATATACTGACTTTGGCTGTGTATAAACCAGAACATAGCATGTTTCTGTTTTGGATCATGATGATTTAGTACGTCTTCTTCATATGAGATTGCTGTGGAAATTAATGTTTCCATTTTTATTACATTTTGCCCTTTAGGTATTCATGGAGAAGGCTCAACATTTATTACACTGTATGGTATTCTAATGTGGGATATCATTTTCATGGATGACATACCTGACGTTTTCAGAAATTCCTATCAGGTAGTTTTGAAAGGCTTTCTTTACCCTTTGCTGTAGATTCTGTAACCATGTTAAAAACTCTTATTCAGGCTTAGATTAACATTTTATTCTGAGGGACTTTCCAGACAGATCTTGGTGTTTGCTTGGTTTTATTATTTGTTATATTAGGCTTGTTACTAAAGGGCCTCTCGGTAACTAATTGCTATGTAAGTCTGGATTGGCTGTCAGCTAGGGTGGGATTGATCTGGCTGAATGCTATAATGTCCTATAGCTGAACTCACTGGGCAAAGTTCCCTTTATAGTCAGTGGAAGAATACTGCTATACCGTAGGATTGCTCAGCTCATCTGATGATGATGATGCATTCCATTAAAAAAAAAAGGTCTGTTTCTTTTCAATAGCCTTTAAAGGGAAGTCACATTTTTAAACTCACGTTCATTAACATCCCCACCTGCTCCACCCCAACATGTTTATGCTTTTGGGATCATCCTTTTTTTTGTCAAAGATGCAAACACCACCCTAACAACTCCCTGCCACACCCCAAGATTAATGATTCCAGGTGAACTTGTGGCTTTTAGCTAAATGTGTTACAGCCTACAAATTACAGCTAGAAACAGGTTTTTTTTTTTCATAATTGCAATTAGAAAACTTGATCATTTAATGACATTTGCTAAGAAAACCCTAAAAAGACATCTCAAATTTGTAGTACTAAAAAAAGGCCAGACAGACAGTTACCTTTTTTCTTCCACCGTAACTCATTGCTTCTAATTGGAACCCTGGCCAAGAGGCAGACCAGCCAGTGCCATCGTTTTCCTTAACTGGATCTATTTGTACTGTAAGAAATTATAGGTTTGTATCAGTATGAGAGCTCTTAGGTAGAAATGTCTTATTTTAGAGGTCAAACATGCAGGTTATTCTTGTCTTCTGCCCACCTCCCCCCAGGTGACTGGCACTCAGCTACTACTTGACAGCCTTTTTCAGATGGTGTGTTCAAAATTGAATAATTGGTGCTATGACTTTTATCCAGTAATGTGTTCAATGCTATGCATAAGGCTCTCTGAGGCAGCTTGAGTGATACGCCCCAGGTTCATCAGTGCTTTGCCTTTCGCACCTCAAACTGCTCACTGTAGCTGAGCAGGCTTGACACCGATTCCAGACCCTGAGTGGAATGTTACTGCTCGGGGAGTTAGGCGACCAGGTAACCTTTGTTGTCTGTTAAAGGAAACCTCTGTTGAGAGGTCAGAAGCCAACAGAGCACAGGCTAAGATGTGGCCTGCATTTGTTGCACTAGCATTGGGTGTTAAAATATATGCAAATCTTTTCCATTTAATAAAGGTTTATGTGATGGACATGTTCAAGTGAAATTGACTCAATTTTTGAGTGCATTTGTAGTTGAGATGTAAGAAAAATATGAAGTAGGGCATTGTCATTCTTGGACTTGCTACTTTGCTGGCAACTCCTGAGAGCTGCATTTACCTTTTTATACAGACGTTCCCCCTGGATTTATACACTGACAGCTTCTATGAAAACCGGAGGGATGTCATTGAGGCCAGACTCCAGCAGCTTCATGCAGCTTCCTCAGAGACACTGGCAAAGTTGATCGCTGACATCTGGACCGCTCAGGAGGGAAAAGCAGCAGCACTAGTTAGCTGGGGGCGTTTTAGTTCTCTCCAGCAAGTTCAGGTAAGTAGCTGTTGTCCAGAATGAGCACGCTTTTTGATTAGGCTTGCCGTTAAATCACACATGGCCATAGCGCGCTCACAGTTTGTACTGAGGCACTGAGACGTGACTGATGGTTAGTGGTGGGAGGGAGGAGTTGAGTGGGGACTTGAGCACGGTTTGCCCTAATCCCAGGTACTGTTACTCTGTTATGATAGGGTCGTTTTTCCCGCAACAGTAGTTGGGAACACAGCAGGGAAATTGCTGCCGGTAACATCTACTTAAATGTCTTGTTACACTTGACTAAAGAAAACGCTAAGATAGGCCATAGACTATTCTTGGAGAGTTGGGAAATGGCTGTACAGGAAATTTAAAAAAAAACCCAAACAACAATAACAACAACAACAACAACAAAAAAATACCTACCAAAACTTCTCTTACAGAGCCTTGTCTCATGCCTTGGAGGAATGTTTCTGAGCGGTGTTTTTAGGCGCCTTTCCAAAGATCTACGCCATTGCAGAGGGGGCCTTCCTGACCTGGTTGTGTGGCGTACTCACACTAATCACTTTAAGGTATATTGGGAGATCATGGAAATACTCAGTGCTCAGCTGATCTTACCCTTAGGTATAAAACCTTCCAGTTGTCAGCCCATACAAACTGTATTTTCCCTTTGTGGTGGAGTTAAACCTGCTGCTCATCTGCCCAGCAGCTGTGGCAACTAGTGGGTGACTGTTTATCTGCCATTTCATCACATTTTGCTGTAGCTTTAACGGGCATAATGAGAAACAGCAAGAGGTGGCTAGTTATTGTTGTAGACTAGATCTTCAATTAAAATTACTGTAAAGAAACTGTTATCAATCAGTCATAGACATTCTGACTGTTGTCAGCAAGGGGTGCTGATGTCACCACTTACATAAAAACTTGAATATATGAGACTACAGCAACTATGTCTGTCTCTGCTACAAAAGTGGAGTAAACAGTGATGGTTTTTGTCTTGCCTGGTAGCTGCATAGGTACTAGAAGCCTATTGGACATCTCTCAGCTGCTGGAGCAACTTGTTAGGTGTTTCTAAAACAGAGCTGAAGAGCAGAAATTAGTTCTCTAGAACATCTGAGTAAGTTGCTGTCAGTAGCAGCTGGAACAGGTGAGGTTGCAGATGATCAATTTTTGAGTAAGTGGTATCTTCATTCACCAGTGCCTCTGTTGGTGTTTTGGTGGATATTTACTACACAAAAGTGCATTCTCTTACAGTTAAACTTTGGAGCATGGCTTAATAATTTAGCACCAACTCGGCCTTCTGTTGTGCTAAATCTATGTTATTTTTGTTATATTTTTGCTGCAAAATAATACTTCTATTATAGTGGAAGTTAATGATCTTTCAGTTCCTGCACAGGCACACCGCTAATCGTCCACATTTTTTTGTAGCTGGTGGAAGTGAAAGGCCCCAACGATCGCCTGTCCCACAAGCAGATCGTCTGGCTGAGCGAACTGAAGAAGCTGGGTGCTACGGTAGAAGTTTGTCACGTGCAAGCCGTCGGAGGCAAGAGTAAACGCCTCAGTTGACAACAGAGGTCTTGATCACATGGGTAATTTGGGCGTTTCTAAAGGAACTGGCATGACACACACATGACTAGCTGCTGCTTATTCAAAGTAGTTTCTTCTAAAATTCTGGTTTCTTGGAACATTACTGTAGCTATTTTTAGCACAAGACATTCTAAAAATAGTTTGAGAAGACTGTCAGTATGATTTACTGTATGCCATTTTGTGTTCAGAAGAACAAAGCCTTTCTCTTCTGTACAAAATTTGTAATTTATTCCATGAAAGGTAATCTCGGGGTTTTGCCCAGTAAAGAGAAACAGCTGCGATCACACTGCTACCAACTGAGAACATCCTCTACAATAAAGAATGTGGTGCATCAAGTCCTGATCATTTCCATGTTGCCTGTGTAGCCGGAGTTCATTCTGTTGTGCCAGGTGCAAGTTCAGCGCCTCTGGAGGATTGTCGGGACCAGCGTGGTTCTCCAGCTGTCCCCACTTTGTATCATGTATTTCAGTTTTTCGCTTTAATATAAAAACCCACAACTGGTGAATGATGGCATAAAGTAAGGCATAAAACTCTTTTTTAATGCTGTTTTAATGTGCTGCCATGTATGAAAGGATAACTGAACAGCTCCTTCTGTTGGGAGTATCTGTATTATCTGTATAAAGGGGAAATATTTCTGGTAGTAGGGAGGAGTTGTTCAGTGCCAAGATCCCTGCACTCATTTGCAGTGTGTCATTCATTATAGTCAGTTTTGCCCCACGTAAATTGATGTGTTTTCTCATTCAGAAATAAGTCAGCCAATTGAAATGGAACCAAAAGGATGAGTTCTCTTTTAAGACACCAAAATCCTGTGGGTTTGGCTCAATTTTAACACATAGCCAACATCTTTTCTCTGGGGTCTTCATTCTCATACTAAGTAAGTTTTCCTGGTATCAGAAAATCTGCTTACCATAAAGCAGCAGACACTGTAATAGAACGTAGCGAGAAATTAAGACTATTTGCACATCTTTTTTCTTAATCATCTTTTTACAGCATCCTGTCCCCGCTTTTCTTGGAAAAAATAAACACACGCCCCCGCTATGTTTTTTTGTTAGAGGAAGTCAAAGAAAACCACCTGAAGTTTGCTGTGGAAAGGTATGAACTTTTATTTAGTCTAATTTACTTCACATTCACAACTCAGTATCAGGATTTTATAATCTTCCTGGCACTGCTGCTATACTCAATAAATCGTTATCAGGCACAAAGGTTTTAGTTTCAGTTGAAATAGTGAATTCTAAACCATCACAGCAACAGCATTAGAAACCTACTGCCTAGAGCAACTTGAGGTACAGATTTCCATCTCTTACGTTAGAGGCAAACTTAAGATTTCATCCTTTGCTTACTTAGATATATGTTAGAAATTTTTTGGTTTTAATGCCTTTCCGTCTGAGAGTAAGCCAGAACCTTTGCCCCACTTGCTACGTTTTCATTAAAAATACAAGGCAGTTAATATCAAAGTGGTATTGCAGGCAGGTGCACGTTAAACACACGTGCAGGCCTGGGTAGACATAGACACACGAACACACACTTCGCAATGCATTTCTGGAATGAAATAAATTTCTTTGAATCATGGCAGTAAATGGTGAATAAAGTTGTACTACCACGATCACTAAGTCTACAGTAAGCTCTACCGCGCAGTAATTAATGACACTGGAGGTACATAACCCTATCAACCAGCGTTTCACATTTCCACTTCCCGCACCCCTTTTTTCGCGTGGTTTACAGTGTAATACGAAAGTCATGATAAAACAGCCAGTAACAGCCAAAATAGTGCACATTTTCTAGAAACAGACAAAAAACCAGATAAGCTCCTTGGTAGTTTTTCTACTCTTGCAACACCAAAATGGCATTAACAGTATCTTGTTTTAAATGGTGAACAGAAATTAAAATTTGAAATTGTGTACATATATACACACACACACAAATATACACACTCGTATGTCAGTATTCTGTACACACACGTTAAAGATACGTACTCACACCCCAAAACTACTTTTGAAAGTTACTGAAGATGTCAGAGCAGTCCCTACTGACTATTAATAAGGCAACTGTGCAGAGTGGAGAGTATTTTAAACTTAACATTTAGTACCTGTCTCTCAAAAGTAAATCAAAAAAAGTAAGATGTTTAACTTAAGAGGAAGAAACAACGTACGCAGGCATACATGCGCACATACACACAGACACACAGTAGTTGTTCAGATTCCTCAGAAGGCAAAGCCCCCGCGAAGAGGCGGCAGAACCTTGTCTACCTCCCCTCCCCACCCTCCCTGCAGGAGGTGCCCCCGTCTCTCCTCCCCCATGCCCATCGCCATCTCAGCCTTTGCTTGCCTAACTCCCCTTTTTGAACTGTGTAAAATTTCTTTTTAAGTCTGTTTGGCAAATAGATATTTAGACAGGTTTTGTTTATTATAAAGGCATATTATTTTTAACCCCCTCCCATGCTATATATATAAAATACAAAGCCCATCTGCAGCATCTGTACACATCTTAGAGCTGAAATGTAAAAATGTCTGAAATCTCCTTATAAAAGACAATCCTGTTTAAATATAGTACCCATTTTTTCCCCCAAAGGGTACTAGCCTAAACTTTAATTTATTTTTTTTATATTCCACCAGCTGCCTGTGTGGAGCAATTTATTTACACATTTTTGGTACCTTTTAACCAAAAAAAGTTATACTTTTAAGGAAAAAAAAAGAAAAAGACACCATATTTTAACTGAATTTTAAAAAGAAAAAGAATTGGTACCAAAAGACACTAAGCACACAGGTTGAGGTCTTTTATGTCAAGTATCAGGTCAGGGAAAGCAGTAAGCTAATGAAAAAAAAAAAATCACAAAAGCAAATTAATACAAACAGTTGAATAATGAATTGAACAAGATAGATGACTGCTCCAGCAAGCTTGTAAATAAACGCAACTAGTTTGTGGACCATTTAACATGTTCAGACCGTCTTGCAGCATAATTAGGCAATTGAGGCGAATACACGTTTTTTCCTCACAAACAGTTGACTAGAACAAATCTGGCATTATGTCATAACATGCAGGTGCATGTCTGCATGCACACGCACGCGCAGACACACTCAGCTTCTTTGCATAAAAACGGGTTTTTGGGGGTTTGGTTAGTTAAAAAGGGAAGTCTCCCCCTGCCCCGCCCCTCTCCCATTAGCTCACCTTTACAATGAAACTGCCCACTGATCCCCACCAAACGAAGCAGTGCGAGAAAGCAGCATACCCAGTGCCCCCAACAGCTTTGTAGGTTAGGGAATTTTTAGCCTGGGGAGAATAGCGTCCTGTATGCACTGGACTTTTCTAACACACAGCTTGCACCTATAAGGCCACTCCAGATGCATATTCTCTAAAATAAATACTTGGGCAGTCTTAGACATCCAAAACCCACAGTGTGATTTAGGCTGTGCCGAAGACCAGTTTGGTTTTACAAACAAATGAAGAGCTCCAAATCCTATCCTTCCCTGCCTTTTTTTTTTAAACTCTAATATACCGTGTATTATCATCGTACAGCTTCCCTCCCCACCAATAACTGAGCAAAGCTTCTAGCGTATCAGAGGCGGCCTTCGCTGCCTTAACTTGCAAGTCAACACCTGAATAGAGGCTCAGTGTTGTTTCAGTGGCGTCTGTGTTCTACACAGAAATCAACAGAAAATACAGCCTCACTGTTAAGAGAAGGTAGTTGCCAGAAGCCTTAACCTATGCAAATGACACCCTCCCAGTATACTTTACTCTATTGCTCTTCTCCCTATGAAACTTGAGGCTTTTTCTGGCACAGCATCCAGGGGAGAGGTATCATTTAAAAGGTTTTAGAGCAAAGAGGAGGCTGCTGCCCTAAGCAGAGGGAGGCTTTTGGATTTAATTCCCTCAGGCAGCGCTCATCCATTGCACCGTCCGTATGGACATGCATGTATGTAAAAAAGAAGGCACCACTCTTCTTCCAGCACCTGCTTACAAGTGACGACAGCACTAGCAGCCCTCATGGATTTGGCCACTTGGAGTCTGTCCACCTTTCTGCAACCCAGTAGGTCTTAAGTACGAATTCTGCTGAAAGCTACTTCCCATCCTACAATGGGATGAGGAAAGGGTCAGCAGGGATGAGGACCTGTGGAGGGATATATAATGCTGAGTATCTGAGGTGCTTAGATAAAAAGTGTGAGGCTCTCGTGAGACTTACAAACAAGCTTAACCTTAAAGAGGAAAAACCTGCTGTCTCTCGAGCTGGTCGCCTGTTATTTCCAGAAATGGAGAGGGGGAGGCAGGGGATGGAACAAGACCTTAGCATCACAATCTATTGTAAAAACTTGGGGCGGGGGCGGGGGGGAGAGGGCATTGTCAGCTGCATTAGAGTAATCTTGCTACCGGTTCCTCCCAATTAAAGGCACTTCTAAAGCTACTACAATACCATATCTACAGTAAATGTTTTAAGGTTAACAGTGCATTGTCCTGAAGTTTGTTCCTATAGCCTAAAGTCAAGCTCCTGACAAAGAGCACAAATCTGACTAATTGTTAATGAATACATTTTGTGGAGAGAAAGAAAAGGGAACACACACACACACACCCCCCGGATACACAGTGCATTAACACATATGTAGGGTGATCAACTCACAGAACATTAGTATGTATGTATGCTTATAAGTACTCTTCCTGAAGAGGCAATCTGATAAAATAGTTCATTCCCAGATTTCAGCTGTCGATCTGTGTCCCCTGCACCTAACTACTTTGATTTGCCAAGCTGTTTTGACACAAGAGTCTCTTCGGTCACCATCTGGGAAAAAAGAGATTTCAAGCAGAACCCTCATTAATGACCACACCAAGCCTTTCTATTAGCTAATGAAACGCTCCATCGCATATAATGAGCCAAACCACAAAAACACAGAAGGAATTAGGGACCAGAAGCCCTAGCAGATGAGAACTACTGAGACAAAATTGTGCGATTTGAAGCTTGACTTGCTTTGCTTTTAAATACTTGTGCAAAACTTACGTAATGTTTGTATATAAAAATTATTACAGCTTTCAATGCTGCATTTAGCAGTGTTAACTTAGAAAAGACAAAATGATATGCTGTATTCTCCTCAAACTTTTAAACCATCACATCAGCTTAGTCTTCATTTGCAAGTGTCTCAGTGGATAGCCAGATTTTGGCACCACTTAAAAATTTGCTTAAAGGTGTTCCCAGAATGCTCCGTCTGCATAGGTTCCCTACAGGAGAAAATGGGAATGAGGAGGAGAGAAAGTCTGGGGCCCCAGAGGTGTCATGTACACCGTTTGCTCTGAAGTACATCCTGCTTTGATCCAGTTCTGAGCAGTTGCCTTGCAAAGAAGAGTTGCTTTTGTACTGCCGAAGATTCCGGTTTAACATGTCTACTTCATCTGCCAGCAAAGAAACTTTATGGAAAGCAGTGATGAAGCCACCATGATTAATCTGGGCCTCAGGAACCCAGCGGAAGTAGCACAGTTTCCACAGTTTTATTTGTGTTCCAGAGATACGGGGTAGAATTACGCCGTGCAAATCAACAGGCTTTGCAAACCAGTCTCTGAAGTACTGTTCCATACTGCTACCCTGACTCTCTGTTTGCTGTAAGAAGTCCGGTTTCAGTTTTAGTATCAGAGAGTTTCTTCTTGGAAGGAACTCTTGCTCACTGATGATTCCGTTTTTTAACGCTGGGGGGGCACCTCGCAATGTGGAGCTGTAGTTTTTCTGCAGAAAATAAACACTGGTAATTTTCCAGTTTTATGCTCATTTGAATAGCAGATTTCCCTGAGCTGCTAGGATGCATCGTCCAGAGAAATGATGTGACCTTTAAACAGTTCTGAGCTGGCGAGTCACTACTGCAGGGCTCACAGGCCAAACAGTGTGGCCACCTGTGGTCTTTCAAAAGAAACACACTTGTTTTCTAGACTTTGTAAAACAATGAATGATTGAATTAATCAGTATTCACTGAAAAAAATGACAACTCTTGGGGAAAAAAGTGGCATGTCATCACTTTTCCATAGGTGAAATAATGCAGAAGTTGGCAGTGAGCTCAGCCATATCAGAAAATGTCCTAGAACACAACGCTCAACAACTGATATCTTCTACAGAAAATAATTTTTTTAGGTGGGGAAGCTAAGAGAATTAATGCTCCTATTGCTAAACTGAGGGTGTAAAACACTCTATAACTGTAAATTTTTAGGCATTAACACCTTATGGTTAAGCACAGAAACAGTCCATTCACAAACAGGCATCACTATAGTTACCTTTGAGCGTTTAAAAGTTTTCACTGCTCCATTTTGTACACATGGTGCTTTTTTTCTCTTTCCAATATACAAAGGGTTGTGAAAGAGCAGGCGATCCCTGCTTGTAAACTGAAGAGACCAGTCCCAAACACAAGGAAATCTGAGGCCTTTCTCATCGCCCAGCTGAATATTTTTGCTTATGGCAAATTCCTGCAAGAAGTTAACATTCAGGCATATTAAAATCAAAGAAAACAGGCTTATTCACAAATCTTAATTATAAACTAGTGCATAACTATTGGGAAAAGAAGAGCAGGGATGTAATTTAGAGGTGGCTGCAGATCAAAGCAACAGAGTAGCAAGACAGTGTGCTGCTGAAGAAAACAGCTGTACCCTGTTTTTCATTTCTGCAATGCAGAGGGAGGACTAGTGCTTACTCAGCAAAAATTACTTTTCAATGATATTAAATCGTTTGTTTACACTTAAAGCCCCAGAATTGTTATTTTAAGAATACACTAATGGTCCCTCAATGCTCTACTTCTTTGTAAGGTAGCTACCTACAACCTTAAAGGGAAAATATTTAACAAAACAAGTTTTATCAGCCATCAAATGTATTCTACGCACAGTTCTGATAAGCTCCAGGTTTCAAAAACAAATTTAAGTGTTCAGGTTTCTAAATGCCTTCATTGTGCATTACTATTTGAAGTTTATGCACTCTTTTCCAACTTTTTCAACTATTTAAAAAATTATGTCAAGAGATTTCAAAGTTTGCCTGAAGTGTGAAATTCTGTTTATTGCCTGTCATTCTACTTTAGCAGTTCCAGATATAAATCTGTTTCCTAGAGGAGCACAAGTAATAATATACAATAACAATGCTTTTCTATGAAAAAAAAAAAAAAAGGAAATTCAACAGACGTTCTTCTTGAATAGTTAGTTATTGTCTATGCAAAGATCACCTGAAAGGACATCCTGATCATATTCATCTGGGGAGCTGAATATTTTGCCCCAAACAGAGTGTGACATTTTGAAAAACACAAAGGAATGCCATTTAGCTGAGATGATGTTATTTCCAGAAGGGCATGCTGGAGTCTCTTATTTGAAAAGTAGGTGTAACACTGCATACTCACGGTGCTTTCCTTTACTCGCTGATGAGGACAATTGAAAAGGAACGTGCCAAACAATGAGATACGTGCACTGTCGTACAATATGGTCAAGTACATTTCAGAAAACTCGAAGGCTGCTGGGTATTGTTCTAGCAGCTGCCAAACACAGTCAAGAAACATCAAGAACAATGGAGACTGGGAAAAGAAACAGAGAATTATTAGATTTAACATAAGCTTTTCCCAAGTTATACCAATTTCATTACAGTTAGTGCTCCATTAGGGTATTTAGCTATACCTCTGGTACATTACTCAACAGGGTAAACTATTTGGAGTATTGTATTTTTTTGTGATTTTATGCAACTGTAATACCCTGCATTCCTGTTTAGCCACTTTCTTTCACAAGCAACTATGTCCCACTGGCTTTCTCAGCATTACCTTTCCACAGCTTTCCCTTCTCTGTAAGAAGCCAGTCAATTCTTTCCTGGGCTCTCTTTGTACCCACGTAGCTGCATAAATGCTTTGTGCCATCTTGTATGTCCCTCAATTTCCAAACTACTGCTTGTACAGGCCTTCCTTACTACTTCACCTTATTTTCACAAGTATTTTCACAAAAATACTTCCTTCTTGTTTGAAACAACTGAAGAGCTTATGATTCAGCCTCATTAACTTCTCACGACACTTTCTAGCTCTTCCCACAGCGGCCCATGAACAACAAAAGTATAAACCATCATTTATATAAAGCTTTAGAAATATTTTCCTCTTCCCAGTTTCTGTATATGGTTTCCTAGGGTCAAAATACCTGCTTTCTCATTATTTCCCCCTTGGTATTTCAGTTTCTTTATCCCTTCATGCATTTTTCCTCTGCTTAGTGCTCGGCATCCTCAGTTTACCTGTTGGCTCCACTCTCTGGGGATATTGCTTTTCTATTGCTCTTGGTCATTGTCCTTGAAAAAACCTGCTAACCTAGGGTCCTCTATTTTGCCAACTGCAATTACAAGTCTGTCCTTTGCAATGAAGAGGTCAAATAAGATTAGCTGGAAATAATGAAAATCAACTGTGCTACCCTCTGTTAATCTGTTTGGCAGCTGTGTATCGGTTCTTAAAGCTACAGTACTTCTCTGTCAGCTCAATACTTGGAAAAGTATTGCATATTGATATGACCTTGCATTCAAAAAACATGGGGATGAAAACAGATATCTTTGGTAAAACAAACCACCCCCTCCAAACCCACTCCTAACCCCTTTTATTTCAATTTAAAATGTGGGCTGTGCTAGCATTTGTAACAGTGGGACCTTTTCACATATAACACTGAAGCAACATAAAACCCCACCAATATTTGACTGCACCTCGTGTTTCACTGATTCTCACATGGCTACAGAGGATAAAGTAAATATAACTCCATCCTGGACAAAGGCTCATTTTCTCTTGACATTAGTTTCATGAGATTTGAAAGTTTTAAAAAATATTTTTTACTTTTAGATTTCTGTGTGAATGAATGTTCAGGCTGATATTAACCTGATACTGTTATCACATACAAATACAATTAATTTTTACCTCTTTGTCAGATCTCTTTAAGTGGTTGCACCTATCTAAAAACTGATATCCTGCCATGACCCATTCCTTCTGTATTAAGCTTTGAAATCCAACAATTGTTCGAAAATAGGGATCCAGCATGACTTGAATGAGAGAAGCAGCAAGACAGCTCAGGTCCCGTCCCTCTTCCTCTGTGAATAACATACAGAATGTATGAAATATATAAGTTATATATGCACATATACAGAATTATATCTCAAAGAGCAAAAAGTGGCAACTAGGTCTAGTGTTTTTCTTTGAATTTCTTTTAAAACAATGCTTTTTGCTGCTGTAATTGTTCGCAGTTTAAAAAAAAAACTAGTAGAAAAAATCACCTTTTTTTTAACTGAGACTTCTACTACAGAAAAGGTTCCTGCAGGATCCAGCATAATACATGCATCAAGAACAAAATACCCACCCAAACGCCTGGTATTTAAACCAAGATGTGCTGAGAAGGAGGGTGTTCATGTTGCTGAAAGTTTTCAACGTTATTTTCCACTCTGAAGCAGTTTTTGGAAGGCCATTATATGAGGAGAGTGCGATATACCAGCTGAACGAGTCTTGTAAAAATGACAGAGATTACAAAATTTCTGACCTTGATATAAGCAAGTTTTTCAGTGTTTTTTTTTTTCTGGAGTATTTGTTTGCACTTAGACAACAGCAGCCAGTGTTAGCAAAATACTTTTGTGTATAGAACCTCTGAATAAAACTGATACTGCTTATGCAAGGAGTACTAGCCCAATTAACACAGTACAAAAGTTCACTCTAAAGTTTTGATTCTATCATATCATTATCAGAATAAAAACCACAAAGACTCACAGTGAAATATTCCTTTGATGCTACAGACTATACTACAGTTCAGATACATAACAAAATTATTTTCCTTTATAGTTCCTCAAATCTGTAAAATATGTAGAAGTGATGAGGTTTATGTATAAAGATTACAGTTGATTTTATCTAAATGTGTTTATCTACGTTATCATACTAATGGTAAGAATTACAGCATGCTCTATGGTTGTATTACCTTGTAGAACTACAGAAACATGCTTACACTCCATCATATATACAAGCTCGGCAGAATGCTTAAGAAACAATCTAGACAGGAAAAGAAAGTGATAAAACAGTTAATATAAGAGACTCACACTCTAGAAGAAAAAAATATTTGGGATATCTATATTTACCTAACTCATATATTAAAATAGAGAATCCTTCAACTGATTCACTGCTTATTTACACTGGTGAAAATTTTTCACATCTCATTAACCACCATTTTACTAATGGTACAAACCTAATGTACTCTAACCAGTGAGTATTTTCCAGTGAGGATAGCCACTTCTCTTCAGTTTCTTCAAAAGGCTCTGCAACAAGGAAAGTAATTACATTGCAGAACAACTTCAAATAACTATTCCTGTTAGCCAGATCTATTAGAATTTGTTGTATTTCAAGAAAATAACCACCATGAAAGAAGGACAGTCCAGCGTACCATTAACACACAGTTGTTTGAGTTTGATATGTGCAGCCTGGATTTCCTGGATGTTGGGGAGACACTTGTCCAGATCAGATTTGTAAACGTCACTTCTCAGCGGATGGCTTCGAGTTATTGCATTACAAATCCTAAGTAAGAAAAAGAATCAGCCACTTTAGTATTGGAGAGGAGAGAAACAGTCTTTCAAGAAACATGCCACAGCCTTTAACTGCAAACATCTAAAATCACATAAAACATGTACCTTACTTTAAAAAAAAAAAGTTTTCTAGTTTATATTCAGGAGATACATTGCTCCTGCCACAAAGATATTGACTCAAATATTTTTGGTATCTGCTAGTTACAAAACAAAAAAATGGAAAGGCTGGATCATTAAAACAACATGTTTGGGAAATGAAAATCTGAGGCTGACTTATAGTTAAATGGCTCTATTCAATTTTTAGTTTTCCACAATTTTTAGTAAGACTTGTCTACGCTAAATAAACAGAACATAAATAAAGTTTATAAAGCCAGGAAATCTGACAGGGTTTCAAATAAAACTGAGAGCTCCAGCCTAACACACAAAATGCAAGTGTTTGTACTACTACAAAAAGTCGCCCTACAAATTAAACCAAAGAACAAAAAATACCAAGGTAGTAAACTACTTATGCAAGGCCCTAAATGCCTTCATCTTTCATCAGGGACAGTGAATGACAAATATTTCACAGAAATACTGTGTGCACTGTGGCACTAAGTTTATAGAACTTTATTTCCCAATGCCACAAATAAATTAATAATTTTTACTGTATTTTGCTGAAGCAGGTAAGAAAATCTCCACCAACATAACTTGTACTACAGTAACATCAATATAAAAGATTACGTCTGATCCTTTTATCAATAAATTGTCATCTCAATGACTAGCTGCCTAAAAAATACACATCCCTTAAAATTTGAAAAATTATTCAGTATTCAAAACTGAAGTGGACCTTGAATAGAAACTGTGCCAGAACTATATTCAGAGAACAGGTTCTCAAAAGCTACTGCACTACAATATTATGAAGCAAGTATCCTCCTAATTACCAATTGCAGCTGTACATTACACGTAGTCGCCACTTGTGTTATCCTATGCGTCTGATTAAAGAACAACATAACCAATCTTTTACCTTTGATCAATTCTTCTTTGTTGCAATACATCTTTAATGTTGGCCATTCTTACAAGGGCACTCCCGTTAGGGTGATTCCAGGACCATAACTAATATGGGGAAGAAACAACAAAATACTGCAGGTTAGTGTTATTTCATAGAAATTTTTTTCTTAATGCTACACACAAAACTATGTTAGTTGGCATACATATCTTTAGGATTAATATTGTACAATGATCAAGAACAGTAACAGAATAAAGACCACACTTACTGGCATTCGTCTCCCAATAAAAGAGTAGGAGTATAGCTTAAGGTCTTGGTCTGCTAAGGAAGATGGAACCACAAAATATTCTGGAAGGCTTGGGGAAAAAATATGATATAAAAGGTTACTTTTCCCTATGTATTTTACTAGCCTTTCTCTTGTCGCAGTGCTGTCTTACCAACTCTGTTAAACTATAATGCACCAGCTCCTAATAACCGCAGTGCTAACTAGTTGTCCTTTATGTCTGCACGATCTTACCTATCATTGGTACGGCTCAGACGTATTTGTTTAGAAATATGCATGTTTCAGAGGGAAGTACAAAAGCATGAAAGCAACAGATGCCAAAATATGACATTTCCTTTAATGATAACACTTGCAGGATCTTTCAGCTGAGGGCCTCTCGAGAGACTGGCACATTTAAGAGGCAAAGTGCAGTTAGGTAGGATGGAGGCTTTGGTAGAGGACACAGAAAAAGACAGTATAATTTCCTTGTTTTCTTCTACTTGTGTTATAAGAGAAACTTACCAAGTAGATATCATATAACCTTCATTGACTGAACAAACTCTCCACTCTGAGGCACCTGTCCTTTTGATTTCTCTATCCCAATCAGAGTAAGTTTCAAACAAAGGTGTCTGCTGACCACTGGCACTGCCGATGCCACCACCACCACCTCCTGGGTCTATTCCATTCACCTTCTTTGCTAGGAAAAGAAAATTCATCAATGCACATTTAAAAAAAAAGGGAAAAACATCAGACTCTTCACCTACCTAATTACAAGAACAGGCCACTAGCATCAGGACTAACATTACCTATTTTTGTATTACAACAGATCAGTCATTTAATGACAGCTTGGCAATACATGAGTATGTAAATGTATTTTTTCCTGCAATTTCAACAGAGAAGCAACATGAAATTGGTACGTTGTGCTGCTTGATACAAAGCAAGTCATACTAACACTCAGGAATGAGTGTTATCTTCAGTCACAGGATTGCTCTCTTTAACGTGCCAAAGTTAGCGATGCTTTAAAAACATGAACCCTTTATAGGCTACCCTTTAATTAGGTACCTTATGAAGAAGGCAAAATAAAAATTGTATCATTCCAACAGCTTTAATTGACTGCTGTATCAACAGCAAATAAAATAAATTGAAGACCAGGTTAAAACATATAGATATATTTATACATACATATATTTATATCCACACAAAAAGATGGCCTACCATTTTGTGGCTAGGGACCAAGAAGATTATATAGTCTGTTACTAATACGGAAGGATCCCCCTTTGCTGGTCATTCTTTAGGTGCCAAGGAGGCAGTCAGCTGTGTCAAAGGAGACCACATTTTGTTTCTTGACACTTGCAAGTAAATTTTTAGATGAAAGGGAAACAAACTGAGTCTCAACCCTATTACCTCCCCCATGAAAGCTCCTAGCTTTAGCAAGAGTCTGTAAAGATGTAAGTGCCAAACAAAGCAGAATACAGTGTTATGGCTCTACTGTCATCTCAGTGATTGTGTAGTTTCTACTTCCTGTATCTACGAACTTCATTCTCGCACTCGTACTCAGACTAGTGATGTTTTTCAGAAGAAAACTGGACTAAAATCAGAATGAAGTAGTTGTTCAAAGACAGTATACAGAGAAATATGATAATTACCAAAAAATATTATAATTTTCCTGTTCAATGGCAGGATATGTAATTATCAAATATAGCCTGGGAAAAAATGATGTACGTATACACTAAAGTAACGCAGGCTCTTTATGGTCCTCAAGAAGCACAAAGACAGTATTTCAACTTCCACTGTACTAGGACTAGCAGGGATAGACAGTCATAAGACACAGTGCTGGGACTGTAAGAGCACAGCCAGAGATCTATGCTACAAACACCAGGGTTCACAACAACAGAAAACCCCAACCCAAACCAAGAGTATTTCAAACTCTTTCCTCCAGCAACTGCAGCACAGGAGAACAACTATCTTTTGCCATACTGGTCTGCTGCTCCAGAGGAACAACATTTTTTACCCACCTTATGTAATTCTTCCACTAGGTATTTTTCCATACAGCAAATGGTATTTTAAGGACAGAGTAAAGGCAACTTTGTGACAGACTAATGCTTTGTTCACACTTCACTTTAACATTTTATTGTCATTTTAGCAGCAAATTGGCTTCCTCCCTAGTACTTTATAATGCTAAAGTACACGGACCTTAATAACCGCCCAAATTTTATCAGGTAAGAAATTACATGTGTAATTATGTGTGCAACATAATCACGCTTATTCTTGTGCATGCACAGGGCAGTTATGTAGGCACCTGCATGAAAAACATGCATTTTTGTGCAAATTTGAAGGCCTGAGCTCATAATTCCACAACATTCAAATTTTGTAACAGGCAGATCAGTGGTTTCTAATGCCAGCTGCTGAGTAAATATTTCAGTACCACAGAACTACATCAATGGCACTTTCTCTATCAGGAGGCTTGTTATGTAGAACTGATGGTTTTCAGCTGTGTATTGGCTGGGGAACACTAAGCAGTGACCGCACAGCATTACACTAGAAATCAAGTTCCAAAGGCATCTTTTTCAGGCTTACCTAACTGACAAGGTTCAGTTGGAGATTGGCCTTGAGCAGAGAGGGTGTGCTCCAACTCAGCAGGGGTGGTGGAGGTTTTGAGTGGTAAGAACTGCCTAGTAAGCCTCTAGGAAAGAAGGTATGGAGTCCCAAGTTGCACAAATCCTCCTGCAATACCACCAGAAGAGAAACTTATTCCCAAAAGAAGGGCAGGTGAACAAGCCTGCCTGATGGGAGATTAGCTAGGTACCTAGAGTACCAATATAGACATACAATAGGAGGATCGAAGCGTGAATTGAGAAATGCGAGTATTCATGCTGACATAAGTGCTGACATAGGTAGTTTTGTTTTGTTTCAGACAGGAAAGACATTTCTTTCAATTTTGGTTGTTAATGTCTATCATGATGGATGGCTTACAACCAAAAGTAAGATGTTGGGTGCAGGACAAGCCAATTTTATTACCCCTGGAGAAAGCCTCAAATGTTTTTGCCACTGCTTCTAGACAGAAGTCTTACTAAAATTACATATTATGAAATAGGAAAAAAAAAAATCAAAATACTTTCATACTTACCTGGATTATGATATATTTCTCCAACATACTCAAATGCAAAGAGAAGCTGAAGATCTGTTGGCTGAGAATAATGAGCTATTGCAAGGCACACCTAGGAAAGAAACATTTAGTACTGTTATTTATAGACATAAAATATACTGCCCTTAATTATGACAGCATGAAATATGCAGAGCAAAAGTTAAAATCAGTCTTCTGTTGTTTTATATCCATATTTTATTTGAAAGGAGTGAATTATATAGTTAAACATACTCATATTTGCAGGACACCGTTACTGTAATCACAGTAGGTGAGTTCACGACCATCTATCAAGAGTGATTAACTGATAAAGGTGGACTAAGTGTTTGCAAGAAAGGCCAGACTGCAACATGCATCCCTCCTAAACATGATTCTCTGTATCAACAGAGACAAGCAAGGCCTTGGAGCTACTGTGTTGTGCCTGTCCACCTGCATATAAAAGTAAGGAGGAGAACAGAAAAATAAAAGAGCACAACACACAGGTGGTGAGCACAGTACAGCAAAATCTCATTTGTAATTGGTTTTTCGATAAATTTTAGGTTTTTTACATAAACAGTACTTATCAACATAGCATAAGAACATAAGAAAGGCCATACTGAGTCAGTTGAAAAGGTCCAGCCTAGCATTTTGTTCCTGACAGTGGCCAGCAACAGATGCTTAGGGAAAAGGGTAAAAACAGAAAAAGCACATAATGAAATTTTACCAGGATATTTTTCAACAGTTCACAGTTCAGGCACTTCCTGAATTAAAATCTGGTATCAGTATTCAACAGCATTTGACAGATATTTCTTCTACAAAGCTGTCAGTTGGGCTAAGAGGTTTTTGAAGTGCAACTTCCCTTTAAAAAAAGCTCTGCTGATTCTTCCCTAAAGTATCATATTTAACCAAAAGTTTGTATCTAATAAAATTTTTATTCTTTTCCACTAATTCACCCCATATAGCCATCAGGCTTACCAGTCTGTGCTACCCAAAACTCAACCTTCAAAAACTTCTGTTCTTGGAAGGGAAAACAAGAGGTTGCTCTTTGAAGACTTTCAGGACCTATGTCAATCCTGCATCTCATTAAGTTGTATTCCAAAATTATGAAGGGCACTGATGAATATAAATGAAAAGCAAATTGTTTGGTAATAAAGAACAGCTTTTCCCCCAAGTTATTTGGAAATAAGTAATTCACAGTGGGAGATGTTTTCTTCATGTTAATCACCTGTAGTTTGTTTGCCAGCTGAATGGCAGGCCAAAGCTTCTCCATCAATCTCCAGTTTCAATAAAAAGTGAGGTTTTAGGGTAGGTCCTTTTGCCAGGCGCCAGGGATCTACAGTTAAACAAACATGCCCATAATCACCTCCTGCCCAGTCCCCAGCTGATCTTGATAACTGAAACATCAGCCAAACTTTCTGAGGGCAGCAAGATGTTAGCTTCATTAAATTTTGGCCTAGCCCTTATAGGTTTTGTCTCAGATGATTGGATTTCATTCACAAAAGAAACCCACCCATAACTTCTAGATTCCTGCAGGTTTATAGCAAGCTCCAACACTGTCTCTGCCAATCTGATGCACTAATCAGGTTTAACCAGGCTGACTCACAAGCCCTGCCCTGGGAAAGGAAATTCAGCAGATTTAAAATAAGAGAGATGCCTCCTCAGAACAGCAGAGATTAACCTGGGGGACAAGGAAGAATCTTGCCTAAGTCTTTGCACTCTTTGCGACAGTCTTGGGAGCAGCATCGTGTAAGGAACTGGTTTTCTACCCATATAAATTGTTCATTTTGGCTGAACCCTAAGATTATTAAAATTAAAATTGCAGCATGTGGTTTAGGATTCAATACTAGACTTCAAATACAGTCAAGCTTTCCTAGCCTTTGCTCTTTAAATGTGGATGTACACTAATAAATACAAAAGATTTGAAAAAAAAAAATCTCTAGAAGAATCAAATTCAGGAAGAAAAAGATTTTCAAGTAGAGATTGGCACAGTTATTCTCCAAATTTCAGGACTTGATTTGGAGTCTTTAGCTTTGCCTTCTTCCCTCCGTATTTGCATTACCATTTTACTAAAACATACTTGCCTTATCTCTAAGGAAAATATTTAAGGAAAAGGAGGTTATAAAACACAAAACTCTATTCTACATGTTCAGATACAGAAATTCCATGTGACAGTTTTTAATTAGGGACAAAGCCATAGTGTAAGTTCACATTATTACCACCTAAAATTTTTCCTTTCTATTTTCTTCCTTCTCTTCAACTCTCCATGACTTTTTATATTTGGCAACATATTGACACAATTTATTCACTGTTTAGCCTTTTTGGGTATTATTTTTGAAAAACGTTCTGTACACCCAAGAAATTGTTTTCTGTTAGTGAAGGAAAGTTTTCTTACTGTCATAGACATAAAAGAAAGATTTGCATGACACACAACTGAAGGAATACTACTACTGGCAGCATTGTGCCACAGGAAAAAAAAATTGAAAGCTCACTTACGCTAAGTTCTGCATGGAGAAAGTTATTGTATGCAACATATATGGCATTATGGAACATGTGCCTAATTTTTATTTACTTTGGCTTTTGATGGGGACATTCCTCGCTATTTACAAAACCAATGATGACTGCAGAATAACTTGAGTTGAAAATTGTTTTTCACAAACACTCCCCAATCAAAAAATTCCTATTCAGTCTTAGAAGAACAGTTGCTTTAACTTTTCTCCTCATATTTTGAGTTCTACAATAAAACTGCAAAATAAAACAGAGAACAGGACATTTGGGGGAGGGTGGCGGTGCAGAACCACGCAGATGACATCACCACAAACAAAACAAAAACAAAAAAACACACACCATCACAAACAGTAGAATTGTTGGTGGGAAATAGTCTAGGATGACTTTTCAAATGAACGTTCACAAGCTCATTTCCCGGATTTGGTAAAACTTTTAGTAAGTACCATGAAGTAACTGGAAGCCGTGCACATTTTGTTAAATCTTGTGATTTCAGTGTACAATTAAAAAATTTAGAAGCCAGCTATTCCATAATACTTGGCCTCTTCTAACAGACTATGTTTCCCTATCATTCACAATGAAACAAATGGAAATCTGTGTACATACACATTTTTACTTCCATTTTCCTATGTAACTTTTCACTACAGTAACTGATATTAACACAACTACTCTTTATATTCATTTATGGGAGTGAAGGATAAAAGCCTTTTACTATGCCGATCTACTCTCAAGGCTTGAGGATGAACTGCAAAACATTAAAAAATTCCATTGTGCTGCCAAATAATACAATAGAAATAATTAAAACCTATTTTTAAAAGCAGCAGCTGAAATGTCTGTTATTTACTTGCCAGATGTGTGAGTGTATGTATGCTGTGTTAAGAGGGGTAAAGCTGGGGGTGGGGGAGATGGTAAGCATTCAGATCTGGTTCCCAAAAAATGTAAAAGACCATAGCTGTGCTTTTGAACCCAGCAGCTGAAAAATGCTCCCAGGTGTTCCACAGTATAGACATTAACTCACAATATGAGGTATTGCATGGGTGTAACAGTCTACCTGTAGATTACAATACAGGTTCAATACCTCTATTTCTGTTACTAAAAAAAAAATATAAAAATAAATGTATTTATCCTGCTACTGTCTTCATTTTTACATTTTAGACAAATTCCACTCATATATACACTAAACCAGTATTAAAGACATGCTCATTTTCAGTTTATTCCTCACTAAATCCATATAATAGTTTTATTGTCTGAAAGTTTCAAGACAAGCACATTCCACAGATCTCAGCAGATTATCACCATAAGTAGAAAGCTCTTCAATTGGAGGACAAACATGTTTTACAGGAAACGTTCTCATATCAAACTGAAAAATGTTTGGTATTCTTGCCAATTTACAATTGTGTACAGCTGAAGATATTTAGGCTCAGTAAAATAACAAGAGAACAGGCTACTTGTTGGAAAGTTCATTTATTAAAAGCAGTAAACACAATGGCTGTAATTATTTCAAAGTACAAAGGCTATTTCCCTATGTCAGCATCCCCTGTTCAACCCCTATCTGAGAAAAATAAAATTATACTTTCAAGGCAAGTCCTCCTCTGCTTCAACAGGAATTTTACGAAGGACAAGAGCTTCAAAATATTGCTCATGCTCTTGGAAAAGAGTTTTGAACAGTCCTATTTAAGATTTGCTAAGTTAGTATCGCCTTGCATTTTACCTCCTCCCTACGCCAGGCTACCTGTCTTATGAACTCACTGGAAGGATACTGTTTTCCCCTGCTACTGCAATTCCTATTCTGAGTAGACACCTATAGTAGAAAGTTATTCAACCAGGACCAGATCAAGTCCCATGAACAGAATTTCCTCATCTTCCTAGGCAGGAAGCCTTCTTAGGACAATAAAATTTCAGGTAACAAGCCTTTCAGCCCTAACCATTGTGCACATTATGCCAGCTGCTAAGCTATGAATCATCTAATTGAGAACTGCTTTTGTTTTTCCTTCGATAAGAATCCCAATACTAGCTATACATAGTATTTAATTTGGTTTAAGTACAAGTAATCTACACGAGGGGAAACAGTACAAGGATTTCAGAAGCTGAAGCAACTTTTTACCTATCAGAATCCTTGTTTGTACAAGAATGTGTTGGAATTCTAAGTACAGGTTTCCTCGGCCTTAAAAGAAATATTAAAATACATTGCTATTTTTAAAAATATCTTTAGATAAGTTTACTTCTGAAAAAAGTATTCTTCACCCCCTCCAATTCCACTCCAAAGACCTTAAAGATCATAATATTTTCTTGTGCATTCACAGTGTCTTGAGATATTACCAATTTTGTGATCTGTATGAACAATCAGAACAATGTAATGCAGAAGTTTGGGCAGGAGGGAGACATTAGAAAGCGTCAGGATCATTTGTCCAAAACTCTGAGTTTCATATTATTCTTCATAACAATTAGGAAAAAATCGTTCCACTCCATCTTAAGTGTTATGACGTGCGAGAAGGCTAGTTTTGATTACACAGGAAACAAGATTGAGATAATTAATTTTCCTTCTGTTTTGATTAAGCATGTGTTTCTGAAACTGCTCTCATACTCATTTAAAAAAATGATTCCTGAAGGAAAAGAACTGAGGGGGTTCCAGAAAAGAAAGGGACTGAGAAAATGGAGATATATTTAGGAAACAGGAGATTATAGGGTGTGTGCCATTCTGGTGTACTGCCAAGATTCGTATGCATGGTGAGGCAACACGCTATCCATCATCTAACAGTCATAAGATCTAAAGCTTCACCTTTTCATATATTTTAATTTCTTCATCTAAAGTCCAGTATTGTAGTGGCTAGAAATTTGCAGGAGTTTTCAGTTTGACCATTTGTTTTGATTTTTCAAACAAAAAAATTCCTTTTCCTTTAAGGAATGTGAAATGTTTCTTCTTTCACACTGTCTAACTTCAGACTTCCCCAACTTGCTTACCCTTGCTTCCCCATCCTCCACTTCCCCCCACACCCATCTGGCTTTCCTTCCTTTGGAGACTCTATAGCTTTATTTTAGAGACAAAACAGAATTAAACTAAGTAGTGATGAGTACAAGTTTCCATTCCCTTTATTATTCCTTAACTCTTGTCTCCCAAATATCTATTCATAAAAACAAGGAAGAAAATATTTACTTGACTGATTAATGACGAGACAGTATTCTATTAGCAAGAACAATGTTGAAGGTATTTTTCCAATAGAACTGATTTTTAAACTTCTTCATAATGATTTATCCCAAAATAAAGTAATTCACTTCAAAATCCAATGTATTCTTCCAATTTGTTTCTGCTTGAAGGTAGAGAAAAACACCTCTGAATGTTCTATCAATATTACCCATGTATCATCTCTATATGTAACCAAGTCAGACTGTCCACATCTGAAGCCTGACTGCTTTCAAACTTGGATCCTTCTTTTCACACTTACTACTAAAAGAGACTCAGGATACTCTGTTTTAGTGAGACAGCTTAATTAGTAAGGGTTATTCTCCCTTATGTCCTGTTCAGCAAATTCAGACACTTCCCTAGGAACAGATTACATTCCCTTTGCCAACACCAGTTTATGTAACTGAATGCTGTTGAGTATTTTATTACATTCAAGGAACTATGCATAAGAATTACTTAACTCTATAAACTTAGTATCTGTTCTCCTTGTAACTGTTACATATATTTAAAGCTTATTTTAAAATAGTAATTACCAAGTGTGTTGTTTTTTATTTATTTAACTATTGCTTGAAACAGAACATTTGCTAGCATCTGGCAACAAGTTAGACACATTTATAGTCCCACAGTTTGAAGTGTATATTTTAGTAGGCAGATATTTCATTTTGACCTACCAGTGCTTTATTCATAGGATGATACTCCTCTGTATTACCAGGATGACATTTAGTTAGAAATCTCCCTGCTCTGATTTGTATAGCTGACTATTTAGTAAAGTTTGCTAAAGGAAGCTATTTATGATTTATAAAGCACCAACATGCAGGTCTCTTGCTTTACAGAACAGAGATTCTAGTGCTAACTGTAACATCACCTTACCTTCTGCTTATTTTAAAACCAAGTGAAAAAAAGCCTTATTCAAAAAAACTTCTCATACATAGTTCAGACATTATTTGAATTATAGCCTGCACAATTCACCGATTCCAACAGAAATCCTGAGTTTTGCAGTTTCTCAACACTAAGCACCCTAGATCTTCATAACACACATAAGCACAATTTATCCAGTTCATTTTTTTGCTCAGGAGGTCTTCATGTCTAGGTCCAAAATGACCATAAGCAAATTTGTGAGGAAAAAAAAATACAGCAGACAATTCTTTTGATTTTTCTCAGAGAGATTATTGGAGATTATGCCCCCAGGTCAAAAGGAAAGAGGAGAAGCTGGAGAGGGTCCAGTGGTGGGCTACCAAGATGACTATGGTCCTGCAGTACATCTTTTGAAGAAACTGGGCTCATTTAACTGTGCAATAATGAGACTGCAGGAAACCACTACCAGGAAGGTAGTTACAGACTCAGTCTTGCCAGATGACATAATGGGCAGCAGCCAGAAACTCATCTAGGGACATTCAAGCTGGACACCAGGAAAAACATGCAGTACTAGAACAAGTTACCTACAGAGGGAGAAAGCTCTCCATCCTTCGTGGTTTTCAAGATACAATTGGACAAATCCACAGCTAACCTGATCTAATCCTGGCATCTCTGAAGAGAAAGGTGGACTAGATGATCTCCACGGGCCCCTCCCATCCAGCACCTCTGACTTCATGGTCAGTTCTCTACTACAACATTCTCTTGGTCAGAAGACAATGCTGGCACACTCAGCCAAAGAGAAAAGCAGGAATTCTTTTTCATCAGAACTCAGATATACTTTAAGTCTTGGTCCTCCTTACAAAAGTTATGCACACAGAATTATTTCCAATTAGATAGCTACCAATGTTTTCATGCACAAATAGCTGGATGTAAATATATATTAAAGAGGCCCTTCAGAACTATAAGGAGGCCTGACCAGCTTTCTTTGTTTTTAAACATCAGGACAACCTTGCTGTACTACTTGAAGGGCAGGAACAGAACCAGATAAAAATCTTTGAAGAGTGTCACGCTAGCATGCCATTTAAATGCCAGAAAGAACAAAATAACTCCATTCAATATGCCTTGTAAGACCATTCCAGTTGTGTTCACCAGCACCTCAAAATAGTTTAAGCAAAATCCTGATAGAAGAAACGTGATCTAAGGACCTCCTGGTTTTAGACATTTATATTTTAATGGTAACAGAATAACGTTCTTATGGAAACATTAGATTAAGTTAACAGAACCTTACCTCCCTTCAGTAAAAGTGTGTTTCTGTGATACACCCACAAAAAGTTGAGTAACCTACTTGATGCATGAAAACGGCAATAGTAACCACACAGCTGATATTATGATTTCTACAAGTTTTCTTCCACTCCTCTAGTAAGCCCATTCTGATATTTGAACATGGCAACTGTTACACTTTTGGTCACCACCAGTACTATCTTTAAACCACACAGATTCAGATCCTTCTGGATCTCTAAAACTACCTGTTCTTCCTATCAAAAGAAATCACGTTAGACCATGTAATTATAAATGTATTAAGCAAGCGCCTTCATGAAAAGATTTCACTTTTTGCTCTTGCAAAAGTAAATGCAGCAGAAAAAGTGTTAATGAGATGCTGAGTTTATGCTCTCTTCCTCCCTCCTCCAAGCTAATCATTCTTTTTAGCTGTGACAGCCAGTTAGAAACAGTTGCTACAAAGATACTGCAGTAGGCAGGCTGCTCCGGGGAGACTTCAGAGCAGCTGTGAAAGGGGAATTGACTGCTGAAAGATTGCCAAACACGAAAGGTTACAAACAGCAGGGCAGCACTCAGGAAGGAACCTAGAAAAGGAGTAAGGAATGAACAGTCTGCTTCATTACTGTGCTTCTGCCCATCTATGATCTCTATGAGAGAGTAAGAGGTGAAAAAGTGATGAACTGGTTCATCTGTTACTCAGTTGGTAACTGCAAACAGACTTATGTCTGGGCAGATGGTTCTTAGGACTTAACACAGTTAAGCTCAAACTTTATCCTACTGAGAAGGGGAATTCTTAAGCTCTGTGAGCAAATTGGGTCATTCCTTACAAAACGATTGCTGTGCCACCCTGGCAACAAAGTGGTGCCATGGAGGTCAGAGGAGCTGTAACTCAAATAACCTGTGGCACCGATCCAGAAGAGGGAAGCTGGTGAGCTAGTGTTATGTAGACCAACCACCTCTGATTAGCAGAAACTTATCTGGTCCGTACCAAGTTAAATAACATTGTACGATTTTGTTGAGACTTAATGACAACAAGTGTTAAAACTGGGGAAGGAATGAAATTTCTAGGAATGTACAGACAGAAGTAATTCCGCTTGTCAAGAGGTATGCAAGTCTTTTCTAAGAAAGTGTTGAGAAAGAGCACATAGTTTTATGTAGATTAGACAAACTGGTCATTCCAAGAGCTCGCTGGAGAACTTGCTGTATGAAGCAAATAAGAAGAGTATATATAAAGACAGTACATTTTACCTATGGGAGATTTAAGCTTATGACTTTCAGAAAATGTATCAAAGTTTCAAACATTTTCCATAAAAATGTAAACATCTGTTGTACAGCTGCAATGCAGTATTTCAATTCCAGTCTTTAAAAAGATTTGTTTAATGACAAGAAATGCAGGTTTATCTTACATGAAAAGAAACGGTTAATACATCACATTAAATTTTTTACCTAAATTTTAACACTAAAAATCTAGATATTTTCCTGTAACAGAATGTGATTAATTCACAGTTCTTCCCCCCTACTTCTCTATCAAAACATGAAACAAAATATTCTTATTAACACAGCAGTTGTTACATGTAATGATTACAAAGTAGGATTTGATAAGAAGATAAAATACCTTTTTTGCACTTTCGGGACCCGCTTCATCAAAACGATATCTTACAATACGGAAGTCTTTGCAATAAATTATTAATTCAGTTGGATTAAATTTGAGTTTTTGGTTGGGACCAAGGACCTTCTGCTTCCTCTTGGTGTCATTCACTGTAAACAAAAGATAAAGTTCCTAGACTGTGTTTTCTAAGTATACAACACAAGACTGGTTCAAATAGATACAGTAATGCTGCTATCAGCAGCTTTTCATTTAATAGTATATTTCAACTGTTCAATTGAGGTAGAAAATCTCTAGGATCTCATGTTGATCCTTTCAAACAAGTGGCTGAATTAGTGTTTCCTGTATGCTCAGATTATTTTTGTCCATCAGCAACTTCACAAACAAGAAACTAACATGCAGTATCCCCAAGAGCAATTTTTGCTCCCAGACAGTTAATTGTGTATGCTGCAATACCCTTCTGATGCACAGTAATTGGCATATATGCCGATTTTTATTTATTTTTTTTTTTACTTGGATGTTTAAAAAAGTCCTGGAGTTAAGACTAAGATTCACTCGTTATTTCTTACATAAAACTCCAGAATGTAAATTGCCAGCTGGTCTAGCCCTGCACAGACAGCCTATGCCTCCTGGCCTGTGTATCTCCTTTTCAAACAGAGAAAGTTAAGTTGTAAAAAGTAAGCATCACAGAAGTCACAGAGATGTTATTTGTGGTAACTGTGAAAACTGGGGCATGTAGCTGTTGAGTGATTGACATAGCTGCCTGGTTGCAGGTATCTTCTGGGTTAAACTTAAGTACTTCCAGGGAACTCAAGACAAGTGTTTTAAGACACCCACAGCTATTCACCTTCAATATAACAACCACCAAGCAACCTCTTCTGCGGTGTGGGCGAAAACTTCCCCTTAATTCCTGTTAGTAAAAGCTTATGCTTCACTAAATTTAGAGTAAACCTGCACAACAGAAGAATGAAGAATAATCTCCCCAAATGTGTGGCAGGAAATACTGCCATCTCCCTCTACAGAGCTTCAAACCTCAATCGAAAAGCTAAACAGAAAGGGTTCCTAGAGAACTACTACCATTCTTCTACTGAAACCGCAAACACTCATGCTATTTGACAGTTTGGGGAAATACGCACAGAAGAATCTAGAATCTGTCAGCCCTCAAGTTTAAAAATAAAAGCTATCTGTAGTCCTCTACCATTTAAGAGCGACACACTTCATGTGAGACAGGACATAATTAATAGAACAATTATTTGAGGCTGGCTGGCTTTTCCCTCCTCTTTAGCAGAATTTATTCTATGAGCGTTTGCATGAGATATTAAATAAAAAGATTGCAACACCCCATTTATAAACATCTCTCCATACAAAACTGTCATTAATAGATTTGCAATACTGCTACTGTTTTGTCACTTCTACCTGGTATTTTTGAAAAAGGGGCAAGAAATATGGGCCAGCGCAAGACCATGTAACAGGTCAATAGAACCTCTTCATTTAAAAAAAGCATTTCTTCATAATGTTCTTCCTCAGATATACATTAATCTTTTCATGGTGATTACAATCAGCTTCCAGAGTGGAAAGGGATAACTGAATAACTTTGGGCACTGAAAACTTGTAAGTAATGATTTAAATTACCTACAGTCAGATCACCAAGTGTTTAACAGCCCATGCCATAATAAAAATTTGAAAAATTATCAGTTATATGAAATTCTTCAACTATAAGATGAAAAACATTATTCTTAACAATTAGGTTAGCCTAAAGTATCCACCAAATCAAAAACTGGTTCTTCAAAATAAGTATTTTACAAGTTATTTCTTAAGATTAAGATGTCTACTGTCAGTTGTAGATTTGAGGACCACTAGCTACTAACTTGCTAAGAATCAGACAACATTGAAAACTCAAGCATTCATGTTGTCAGATATCCCAGCTTTGTGTAAATTGTATAAGTGATGTGCCTTTTACAATCTAGTGTATTTAAATGGAAGAGATTCAGATGCTTGAATATAAAGGAGCTACTACCGAAATTTTGTACTGTTATAACAACTGTCTATCCTAGAACACATGTTGGTTCAGTATTGTAGTTAAATTTAAAACCAATATAAAGACTCAACTAAACATTTCTCCTGCATGGCATCTCAAGTTTTATTCAGCTTTTAAGGTTTTTATTCCAATTTTAAATAAAATAAATTCTTCAAATCAGGGAAGATTAATGACATGAAACCTTAACCATTAACAATTCTGTACAACCTAACAAGCAGCTAACAGTTTTGAACTGAGTAAGTTTAAAGCCTGCCATCATACTTAACTATTTTTGACATACCTGTGACAATTTGCTCAACGCATGTTAGTGGGACATCATGTTCACCAAGGAGGAGGTTTTTATAATGGAATTTCTGAAAGACATGAACTCATAGCCATTAATTGCAGTTCTGCAGTTCACAACCAGATATACAGCACAACTTGGAAGAAACTATGATAAAAATCAGGCATGCCTAGACTTTTCTGACATGAACCACCCTTGCCTATTCACAGGCAATTAGAGGTTGTGGAAATAGCTCTCTCATGCTGGTGAATACACACCAAACAGCTTAGAAATCCCACTAGAGTATGCAAGATAACTGTACTACTCGCACTGAATTTACTAGCCTCAAAAATTGTACTGAATTTCTACCACTGAAGTGTTAGAAAAAGATATATCTCCGAATATTACTGTAACCATAGAAAGAAAAAATATTAATTCCACTTTCAGAAATAAGTTTTGACAACTACTTCATGTCAAAAATTAATTTTTTGAAGAAGCTTTGGTGAAACTTACTAACCATTACTGAATAAGCATCTATCTACTTTCAGAGCTTTAAACATGCCTAATTAATGGACTGTTTCCTTTAAAAGTCCAAAAGAAAGAAAAAAACTCTACTGAAAATAACATACAGCTCACAACTTGGATTTCCAAGCAGTACTGTATGCTGTGCTGTTCAAAAACTGATCGATGTTCTGAATGTCACACGTTCTGCTTTGACAAAGGCTTGGTTTCTTTCTCCCCTTTTCTTGTTGCTTCATCTACAATGAAAACCCATTTCATGGTTACTTTGTCCTCTGGCAGTAATGCCAGTAAAACTTGGATGCATTAAAGGCTTTGCTGATCTGACACTTGCCTAGTCAAAGGAACATTTCCAATGATCTTCTTCAAGGAGGAACATGTTTTTATATAATTCCTGCATTGCCTTTTGTAAAACCACTTGCCAGTGAAGTCTCCATAAACAGAGGTAAATAGAGCTGGCTGTGCTTCCATATTCAAACTTGCTCTGTTCTGATATTCTCAGCAAAGGGATGGAACAGCAACACATTCAAAAGAGGACAGTGGAATCTCATCATTTACCCTGTTTTGTTTTAGAAGGCATCATATTTATATCAGATATAACAGAGATTCACGTATTCTAATTAAATCCATTTTACCTATCACATTTGTTGTCATGATGTAGCGATGTAAATAATAACAAACCTGTAGTGGCATTGGGTCATCCGTAATAAAGGAAATCTTGAAGTTAGTGCAAACCAATTTGCCCCACAGGTCATATTGACTTGTGTCTGTTGCGATGCATTTTCTTACAAAATTTACTTCATTTACCACAATTTCACCTAGAACAGAAAAAGGGGGAAAAGAGAAGCCTATATATATCTTGCAGGAACAACAATTCTAAGTCTGTAGTACCAAGAAACCCCTAACTCTTTACCCATTTCAAGTTATATACCACTTCTGGGTAAACCTGGAGTTTCACTAACAGCGCACCAGGGAAAAAAAATGAAAGCTACCATTCCAAAATAGACAATATTATGCAGTAGTTAAAAGTAGAACAAACAGCCCCCAAAACCAACAAACATAAAACACCACCAAATCCCACCCACGGCAGGAGGGGGGGCCCCGATAAAACCCACCCCCCCCCCCCCCCCCCCCCCGCCCCCCCCAACAACCAACCAAAACAACAAAAACCCACACACCACCACTTTCCTTATACTCAGAGATCAAAATCTTCACTATTAAAAATTCATTGATTTGGACAACACTGTCCTTTAAACAAAGGCATACATACATGTACTTCAGCTAGTATATATTTTAAAACCTGAAATTAGCCAGCTATTGTTAAGTACTGTAAAGAGTTTTATGACCTTCATGAATTCAGAATAATCAGTCCACATCTAGTTTTCCATTTATAAAGAGATTTTCAGGTGATTTCATAAAAGAAAAACTAGAACACAAACACATTAAACACTCCTCATCATTTCAAAGTTTCTACTGTGACCATCTAATGAAGGAGACCAACCATTTGCTTTTGCAAAACAGAAGATCCAAATGAAGAAAAAAATTATGCTAATTTGTCTGGGATAAGCTATGAAATAAAAAAGCATACAGGCAAATGAGACTGATGATCATTTAAAGAGAAAAAGTAAATCACTACACATAATGTTACTTTTTAGTTCCACAACAGAGGTTTCTGAAAGCTAAATAGTAATTTCATTCTTACTTCAGGAAGTGAACTTGGTCATTTATTTTACACCTCTATAGGGCTTTTGCTTCTGTTAGCAGATGAAGCACCTCCTTCTGCTGCTGTCTACCACAAATAGCGTGGGAGAGGAAATGTGCTCAAGAAAAGTGTAATTTTATACTGGTTGTAGGTTTATTGTTTAAAAAAGACTAAGGACTAAAGATTGCTAAAGCCTAATTTTCTCATAATAGGTTGGGCATATTTAGTCGCAGTTGCCCAAAATGTCATCTCAGCATGTCCTACGCTTTGCAAGAACACAGTCCGTTCTTTGGGTGACTATGGTGGCAGCAATCAGTTACCTGTACACCCAATGAGTATGGATATAGCTTCGAATAAATCTCCCATCTGTCACCTGATCTAGAGAAGGTATTTTCCTCAAGTAGTTATCACTGCACCCAAGTAACTATACATTCAAAGAACTGTCTTTAGCATTCCAAATGCTTGAGCGAAAATGCACCATTAGCTAGTCTTGAGACTCAGTCTCTGCACATGTTCCTCATCCTAAACTACTTAGCTAAGCTGCCCTACTAGCTCTCTTGTCCCCAAAATGATTAGGTATCAGCCTGGAAGTCACTAAGAGCAGCAGCAAACAGAGTCCCTGCTTTTAGTTCACTTATGATAAACTGCTACAAAAATATCTTGGACTAACCCTGTAGCCTTGAGCTCGCAGAATTATGTTGAGTATTCTGGGACTGTTTGAAGATGTAAGGGGACAAGTTTCACTGACCTGTGGTCATTACATACATGCATAATCTATCCTAGATGTGGGGCAAGAGCTGTGGAAATGCTCTATAGACAGATGGGCTGGAGCTTTAAAGTCTTTTCTCAAACGTGTCTAAACTGTGATTAAACAAGCTCTTGAATTTGAAAAAAAAATAAATCTGACTGACAGCTTCAGTACAAATAGTTAAAAGTTCAGCCAAGTACACAGCAATTGAAAACAATGTCTTATAATGGGGTACAGGAGAATGACATACCCTACTTCTGTCAAACAGAAGTAATTTTCTGTAATGAAAATGTTTCAATACTTGTTTGGCCTGAAACTTCTTAATGCCCAGTATTTTTTTCTAATAAGCTATTTACTTAAGTAACTGCAAAAGCCCAAACTGTATATTAAAGCAATTCCTTCTCACAGCTGGTGTTAATCTTCAGCTATTCAATATCAAGTTCTCAGTCACATTCTGCCTGTGAAGCTTCCCCTCTCCACAGAGTCAGTCATTCTAAACCTGAATAGTTTTTATTCTTCCCCCTCTCAGTTGCACAGATGAAGTGCAACTTCCACAGGTATTTTTCTCTCCCTATAACATTCTCTTACCTGTTATCAAGTGTAATATTTTTTAATATCACACAGGAGACACTCCTGCTAAAACCACAAATTACTATTACCAAACTACTTCAGTACTTCATGTCTTTGATGCTACAAAACAGTAGCAAAATGAAAGACCCATGCAAACTTCTTCAATTTTAATCTACTACAGTTTAAAACATACCTGCTACATCGTTCTTTTTACCAAAGCCAGTCCTTTTTACTTCCCTCCTCCATTGCTCATAATTGTGTGGCTACACTACAACTTGTTAATACTAATCCTATTTTAGTGCAACTTCATTTATTCTCATTTCATCCAACACAAACACATTCTGGATTTCCCAGCCTAGCTTCTCCTTTGTACTCAAATTTATAATCCTAACACAGAACTGTCTGATTTGAACCTGAGTATTATAATATGGCAAGGCAGGGAGTGCATGCATCCCAATTTCAACTGAAGGATTTAAACATTTATAATGAAGCATGAGAAAGTTTGCAATGCAAATTTAATAGATGGAGTTTTCAAAAGCCTTTAGAAACTGAACTTTTTTTTTTTTAAATGCAGGTTTGGAATTTTATATTGACTCTGCTTTTATCCTTCATTTGGATGTCTATAATGAGGAGTATAAAAAGGTGCAAACCTTCCAAATTCAAATTTAGGAAAGTAGATAATCAACATAAGTAGTACACATTGGTCTTGCACAATGAACCCTTCTTGTATTTGTAGTCGAGTAGGTGATTTTTCTGTATAAGTGTCAACAGAGCTATTCAGAGATATTACACTGCACATTTTTACAATGTAGCTGCTGCTTTTTTCCAGTAAACAGTCACAAGCTGTTCCAGACACGGAACAGCAGTCAACACTTCCATGTGACTCCAACAGTTAAAGAATGATCTCAGGAGACAAGAGCAGTTTGTTTAAACTTTGACAGGAAACCAGAAGAAAAATTACAGGTTGCCACCCTTATATATAAAGTCTAATCACATTTAATAAAAACATTTCTACATTGTATAAATGAATCACAAAAATAACACAAAATACTGAAGGATCCACCTAGCTAATACACCTTCCACTTAACACACAGCCTCAGTACTTATTCAACTTCAGAAAAATTCTGCCAAATCTCCCAAAAACACATGCAATTTGACTGTCTTATATTTTGGACATTAAGAGAATTCATGGTATGTGTCTAATTCACCATAATGCATAACCCACCACAATCTAAATATAATTCAGAAAGCAGAGCATGCACCCATGGGAACTGGAGATAGAGGCACAACTAAAAATGCCGAATTCAGTGATCAGCAGAACCGGTGATCAATAGGTATCACAGCTGTCATGCAACAGCACCAATTTTGTCTCCCCAGCCTGCAGTCATACTAAGTGAGTCTGGTCTAGGCTTCAGGGCAACTTATTTCTGAAAAATTTGAAAATGCAATCCTTAATCAGTAACATCCTAAAATAAATTATGTTCTGCATCATTTTGCCTACTACTGAACAATATTTTTGTCTTTTTTGGTGCCATGCCCCACAGGATCAAGTTTGATTTTTTTGTTTATCTTATGAACTTACTATCAGGAACTCTGGATCTAATAATCTGTATACATGCAGATCACACAAAATATCTAAAAAATTTTCTTAGGATTTTTGTGTATTTTGTGCCAGTTTTATCAGTATTTGTTATCAGTAACAGCAATCGGACAATAAGGAAATTTGATAGATCTGAAAAACTAAGCACAAACTGCTAGAATTAGCACTGCATTAGAACTTGTAATTGGAAATTTCTGTATTTTCTCTACAGAGAAGGGCCTGGGTTCTTTATAGCAGTAGAAGATGCATAAATAATCCTCTTCCACCTATATAGCCAGTTCTCATATTTGCTATTTTAAGATTCTGTATTATCTTAGCTTAAAGTTCAAGAAACATGCCAACAAAGACAGACACTTGAAGTAATTTCCAGGTTTTGAGTTGCTCATTGAAGCAGTTGCCAAACCTTTCCATCCAGAAGAGTTTCTAGCACAGTTTTCCTGCCTATGGATACAGAAGGAATATAGCAGAACAGCTTATCTTAAAATCTTCGTTTTCAGGGAAGTAGGCTTATTGAATAGCATCTAGGACCACAACCTTACTGACATATGAGGTGAAACAGACTGAACAGTATTCAACAAATCAAACAATACTGACTGAATACAAAAATGCTGCACAATGAAATAAAGTAATTGAGCAGTTTACAAGGACATATTTATGCTGTATTGTGTATATATACACACATACACATCAACACATACACAGAAAAACAGAGCACATGCATATATACATACATTAAAATGCTAATATGCAATATTTCCAGCACATTAAGAACCTGATACTTGCTAGAGGGAATGAATGGCTGAAGTCAGACTCCATAAATGAACAATGCAAATCCTACAGACTCAAAAAGTTTGCAGGTACCCTACGTATTGCTAAGGAAACTTTTTCAATGCTATACTAGAAGCTTAAGAATAGATTTACTACTATAAACTTTCTTTAATGTGCATTGAAGTTCTGTATCAAAATCTCAATATGTTTAGTATACATTTAAGGTCTAATAGACATAAGGACAACAGAGGGTATATTAAGGACTTTATATGGTCATATAATTCCTATCTGAATTCATTAAAACCTAGCACCTGAATACACATTTATAATGCTGATAGTGATTATACCCAATTAAGACAACAGAAAAACAGCTTGTTTATGTGATAGTCTAAAAAGTTCACAGTAGAAAAGCTAGAGTTAACTCAAGTAG